GGGTGGAGGGGTTTGGAAGGCGGAGGGGGCCTCAGGTCTGAGAGATCGTGGGAAGTGGGACGCACAGGTCCGGGTGGGCCCGACATCTATCCTGGCTCTGCTAGCCGTGCCGTGCACCTTCGGACCCAAAAGCTGCCTCAAGCCAACGTGACAGCACTCTGCCATGCCTGTGCACACGCCGTGCCCCTGACTGCTCGCCTGGTGCCACCCCCAACCCCCCACCCCCCCCCCCAAAACCAGGAGACCTGGCTGGACTGGAAGAAGGTGGGGGAGGACGTAGACAAGAAGACAGAGAAGGCGCGCAACGCCGCCAAGGACGCAGCCACCAAGGCCGCCGCCGCCACCCAGGCCGCCGCCGCCAAGGCGAGCGAGGCCACCAGGGACGCGGCGAGCAAGGCGGCCGCGGCCGCGCAGGGGGCGGCCAGCAAGGTGGGGGCCGCGGCCGTGGACACGGCGGGCAGGGCGGCGGAGGCCGCGGGGTACATCAGTGAGGAGGTCAAGGCCAAGGCGGCCCACGACATGGCGGAGCTCAAGAGCGCCCTGGAGTGAGGCAGCCATGGCTGTGGAGGGGAGGAGGCGGCGCTGCGCTGCCGTGCAGGGGCTGTACAGAAGGCAAGGGGCCGCAGCCGACCTGCAGCGAAGAGGCGGTCCGAGTGACCGCCAGGCTTTCCTGCGGGGGCTTGCCGTTTGGCCTTGGAGCACAGGATTGCCATTGCATGGATCAGGCCTCCCTTCAAGGTGTGCATTATTGTCGCGGGTGGCGGTGCCGACATGGCTTTTTTGTGTTCGTATAAGCCAGCAGCCTTGCGACAGCTGCGGGCCTGTGGGCGGGGCTTGATTGCTGGCGAGAGGGGTCGCCCTGCCAGGCGCGAGCCGCAGCCTGGCTCCTTTGTGCGTGCACCTGCCTGTGTATTCCTATTGGTGGTGTGGCATTGGTGGCAACGTATGCTCCGAGGGCATTTTGGTAACTTGCAAGTCCACAACGGTAAAGCAACTGACACCAGGCGCATTGGAGCACAAAAGAAAGGGCTGCGATTTTGAGCCAGGTGATGAGGCGCCACGGAGCCATAGAATGCAGCATCTCTTCACGTCATGACAGCCGCAATGCCTCATCAGCGAATGATCTCCATGACCATACTCAAAACACAACATGTAACAAATGGGCTATGTGATTTCACTGCACAGCATTCTGACGCTGATGTGACATTTGCAACCCTGCGCCCCCCGCCTGGAGTGGGACGTTTGCGCACGTTGGTTGCAGTGGGCCAGCACGACGAAGCAATGCAGGCACCTGTACAGGCACATGTTCGTGTCTCCCCCTCAAATGAGTAAAGCTTTGCTAGTAATCTTCTTATTGTTCGCGCTTTCAATGCGTCACTTGCTTGTGGCGGCCAAATGTTCAAATGTGATCTGAGCGCGAAGATCACAAGGTACATTCAGTGCAGCCTGTTAGTGGCCGCAGCTGTGCCGTGAGTTGTTAATACCATGGATCCTGTGAACGATTCGCTGCAGGCTGTCATCTTTCTGCTAGACCTAAAGGAACGTTTGCGCGCCCGTACCGCCGGCTTGTCGACAGCTGACGCAGTCGAAGCCCGCCTGCGCGCGCTGGGCGGGGCCTGCGCCGCAGATCGCGTCGTCCTGGTGCCTGACCATGCCTGGCTTGCGCTTGCGCGGGGCCTGGGCGGCGACACCCTCAGCAGGCGCAGCTGCTTCTTCGCGGTGGCGCAGCTTGTGTGCCAGTCGCAGGAGCGCCTGGCGGCGGCGGTGCGCTGCGAGCCGCTGATGGCGGCTGTTGCCCGCGACCTGCTGACAGCGCACACCAGGCCGCGATCTGAATGTTTTAAGCTAGCGGACCACCCTTACGTGTGGTTTGACCAGTCCGATGCCGCAGTCGCCGCGGCGGTACGCCACTGCGGCGGCGCCGCGGGACTGGTGGGGGCGTGCGTCGCGCTCCTCGCGGGCAACCTCCCGGCGGCCATGGCGGCGTGCGCCGTGGGCCCGCAGGTCGCGGGGCAGCGCGTGCGCAGTTCAGGGAATGGCTCCGAGGTCGCAAGGGAGTCGGCACTGATGGAAGCGACGCGCACGCTGATGCTGCTGCTGCTGTTCGCTCGCGCAAGAGAAGACGTCGCGGCCGCCGTGGCGGGCGGCAGCGCTCCGGGCGTGCTCGTGGGCCTGCTCTCCTGGAAGGGGGCCGATGCGGCGTTTGTGAGGCAGAATGCTGCACAGCTCGTGTTGGTGGTGGCTCACCACCGCGAGCAGCTGGTGGCCGCCGCGCCCGGCCTGGCCCGGGCCCTGGCGGGCGTGCTCGCCGCCTGCTGCGGAGAGAAGCGGGACGGCCTTGCAGCGCTGTTTGCGCTCGGCGAGTTGGCAGACGATCAGGGCAAACGAGGTGCGCGGGCTGCGGCGGTGCGCCCCGCCTGGTTTGGGGACGCTCTGGCTGGTTGGCGTTTGGGCGCCCGCGCCACAGGCTCAAAACCAACAAACTGGCGGCCCGCGCACAGCCATCACTGCACTTCCAAATGCTGCTGCCCACCCCGGTTGTGCCTCAGGGACTGAATACGTGGGGGCGGCCATCGTCGACGCGCCTGGAGCAGTGGCGGCGCTGCTTCGGCAGTCCCGTAGTGGCACCACGAATCAGCGCACGCTCGTCCTCGCGTTGCTGGGGGCAGCGTTCGCACACGACCCCCGCAGCACCGCTCATGCGGTCCTGGCGGAGCGCCATGCAGTCACTGCGCTGCTGTCTGCCGTGTGGGGCGAGTCCAGGGCGCCTGGGCGCCAGCAGACCATATCTGCACTGCTGACCGCCCTGGAGGTGTACAAGCCCCAGGCATTTGCCACGGCCCTGCGCGCCGAGCCGGGCGCGGCCCCCGCGGCCGCCCGCCTCCTGGCGGCGGACTACCGCGAGGCGGTACCCGCGGCCCTGAGAGCCCTCGAGGTGCTGGCGGGCGGCGCCGCGTCCAGGGCGGCCGCTGCGGCGGCGCTCGAGGCCGTGGCGGCCCAGGATGGGGAGGTGCTGGCGAGCCTGTCCTGGGCGCTCGGTGGCGGCAGGCTCCGGAGTGGCTGCACCAGCAGCGCGTCTGAAGGAGACTGCAGCGCCAGTGGTGGCGCCTTCAGTCGCAGCAGCGGGGGCAGCAGCAGCAGCAGCAGCAGCAGCAGTACGATGGGCAGCATCGCCAGCAGCCTGCTGAGCAGGCAGATTGGAGGCGCCGCTGTTGACAGTGCCTTTGCCTGGAAGCGCGCGGCTGCCCACGCCGTTATGCTGCTGTCGGAGCGCTTTGACCCCGCCAAGCTTTGCGAGACGGCCGGCCTGCTGAGGAGCCTGGGCGCTCTGCTGGAGCCCGGGCTTGTTGCGAGCGAAGCGCGCCAGGCGTGCGGCTATGCAGCGGCCGCGGTGGAGCAGCTGGTGCGCCGCGCCGGCGGCACTGCGGCCGCCGCGCTGTTGCGAGAGAGCCCTGGCATTGTCCACCGGCTTGCCCGCAATGCGGTCTGAGGGCTGGTGTGCAGAGGCTCTTGCTGCTGCTGAGCTGCGCCGTAAGCATGAGCAGCAGCAGCAGCAGCAGCAGCAGCAGCAGCAGCAGCAGCATCAACAGCAGCAGCAGCAACAACAGCAGCAGCAGCAGCAACAGCAGCCTCTAGCTGTCGTGCACACCTGCGCAGCCTGCGGCAAGGCCGCCGGGGAGCAGGGTGCGAGGCTGCGGCTGTGCGCCGGGTGCCGGTCTGTCAGGTGGGCGAGGCGGGCTCTCTCTCTCTCTCTCATGCGGACGGGTGAGGGGGACTGCAGGCAGTGTCTGGTGTCCTGGAAGTTCACAGCATACACACGCACCTATCCATTGCCCAGATCCCTGGCAAATGATCTGATTTTCAGACTTGCTGGCCTTCCTAGCTCGTGTTTTGTGAACAACCAACTCACGTCTTCTCAACAACTTTGCCCGATCCGGCCACTGGGCAGGTACTGTGGCACAGAGTGCGCGAGGCAGCACTGGAAGACGGGCGGTCACAGGGAGGAGTGCGCGCTGCTGAAGCACGAGTTGGACGAGGGGCGGGCCGGGGATGAGGCACGGACAGGAACCGCGGATTCGAGCGGCGGCGGGACCCCAGACGCGTATGACCTTGCATCGGTCGCAGACGTCAGGTCAGGGGTTCACTAGAATTCTCAATCGGCACCGTGCATGTACACGAGCGCATGTGCAGTCAGGCCAAAGCTTGCCAGGTCCCCAGGCTGGGTGTAGATTCTGTCCGTTGTACACGCCTTGGCTTTCACAAGATACGGTTTGCTGAAGCATACATTGCTTGCCTTTGGGCCGCTCTATGAACAGAGGCCTGCTTTCGTAGGCGTTCATGGATTCTCACTGAGCTGGTTGAATTGGTCGTGTCGACACGCAGGACTGGGCATATCATGGACAAATGTCCCCCTCGGGCCTGGCGGACCGCACTGCATTTTTTGTGCACATCTTCCCTTCCATTCAGTTGCTACACGCATTGACCCGACGTTGCGCTGTTACAATGGCTTGGATGCCGAGCTGGCAGCACAACGGGGACTGGTTCAACGCCTGCGCCGCCAAGCAAGGCAAGGAGATTGACACCTTGCATGTGAGCGCATGCACTGACTGCATTAATGTCTGGAGTGATTACCAACCACACAGGTAGCTTGCCTTGCTTTTTGCGGTCGCTCCGCGCCTGCTCGTGCTCGGCCCCGGCCCCCCACAGACAGGATGCTTTGATGTTGGTGTTGGAAGGGGCATACTCGCGATCTCTGCCCTCACCCCAATCCGCGGCAATTGCACCATGGTGGTCTTGGGCATGCTTGCTTGCCCTGGTGCTGGGTGCCCTACATATGCCTCTTTGCGCGCAAATGGTACCGTTGCGGCGGGTGACCACGGGTGCCGCATGCATGTCAACTTGCCTGATAACCATTGAAGCGCATCACCTTCACGAGCGCTTCTACACGCATCCATCCTAAATTTTAAGGGCAAATCGCTGCACTCGGGGTTGGCCGGCACAAAAGCACAGCTGGTTTGCTCGAGGCCTCGATCGCCAAGACCATCTGACGGCAACACAATATGCAGACGCTCAAGGGATCGAGTTCTTCAAACCGCTGCGTGCTGCGGCCGGCCCAACGAAAGGGTGCGCGGTGCACAGGCGCACACACATTGTACCGGTGTGCTGCTGCGCAGCCGCACAAACGGCACGGCCTGTCTTGCTACCAATTGCACTCACGTCAATGCCGTGGCAACGCTTAAGAATCGCGTACACATGCTGCTGCATTCGGCACACATCTGCAGGCTTCCAGGCCATAGCACGGCCCGCATGCCTGGGCGCACAGCGGCCGGTCGCTCAAGCAGTCGCTTCCAGCCGCCCCAGCAGCAGCCCCGCCGGCGTCCCGGCGCGGCGCGCCCCCGGACCGTGCCGCGTGCAGGCGCCGGACACGCAGGAACAGCTGGGAGGGGCGCAGCCGCTGGTTGGGGAGGACGCTGCGGCGTTTGACTGGGGCCAGCAGAGCCTGCGATCTTGGGGCATCTTCGGCGTGCTGCTGACCGGCGTGCTGGGGGCGCTCTATGCGGTGCGCAACCACGGGCATGCGGGTAATTGTTGGCGCGTACACGACACGCCGCTGGGCCGCATTGCCTTTGGAATGTAACACGTACTCCTAGCGGCCACGCCCTCCCAAGAGCGCCCGCATGCGACGGGCGCAGCGCATGCGGTCACTGACTGGTGTACATGCAAGCATGCACGCGCTGCACGCGTCACCCGGCAATCCCATGCGCCCCGTGCCCTGACCCCTAAACCCTGCCAGGTCTGGATCCAGCCGGGCGTGGGCGCTGGCGCGGGCTACCTGCAGGCGGTGGAGGCGCTGACCGACGGCAGCCCCGAGGGCACCATCATCGCGCTGCTGGCCATCTTTGGCGTCGCGCACAGCGGGCTCGCCGGCCTGCGCCCCGCGGGTGAGCCTGCGCGCGGCTCCCGTGCTGCGAGGGGAGGCCGCCGCGGTCGCGTCAGCTTCCCTCGCTGCCGCCTGGCACGCACCCTGCATCGCCAGTGTTTGCGCTTCCTCGCCCACACGACCCCGGCGGTTGGCCTGAACGCAGCCCTCCACTGCATCAACGCTCTTCCACCCACCCCAAGGCCGCCACCACCGTCCAACCCCCCCCCTCCACCCCCAGCCGAGGACGTCATTGGGGCGCGCGCGTACCGCGTGGTGTTTGCCCTGGTGTCCCTCTGCCTGGCGGTCGTGCCCATCGCCTACTTCATCAACCACCGCTACGACGGCCTGCAGCTGTGGAACGTGCAGGGCGTGCCCGGGGTGCACTCTGCTGTGTGGGCCGTGAGCTTCCTGTCCTTCTTCTTCCTCTACCCCTCCACATTCAACATCCTGGAGGTGACAGGGGGGGTTGGGGGGTATGAGTTGAGAGGAGGGCTCGTGGGGGGGGTGTCGAGGGGGCTGACAGACACAGGGGCAGCGGGCTTTTGGCGAGGCTGGCTTAAGGTTGGTCTGCACGCTCCGCCGCACCTCATTATCATGGGATACAGGTGGACCACCATGTCCGCGTGCGACCGATAGTGACTACTGGCTTGGAGATGAGTCCGCCCTGGCCCCTTGGTCTCACCCTCTCCCTATACACATATACACACACGCACACGCATCACCCCCACCGCCTCCATGCTGTTCACCACCCCGACCCCGACCGCAGGTGGCTGCGGTGGACAAGCCGAAGCTGCACATGTGGGAGACCGGCATCATGCGCATCACCCGCCACCCCCAGATGGTGGGGCAGGGCCTGTGGTGCGCGGCACACTGCCTGTGGACCGGCAGCAGCGTCGTCATCGCGGCCTCAGTGGGGCTCATGGCCCACCACCTCTTCGGCTGCTGGCACGGCGACAGGCGCCTCAGGGTGCGTGGCGTTCGTGTTGCCGTGCCGGGCGTGCTGTGGGCGGAAACCAAGACGACTGCTGCCGACGGAGCTAATCTGGGCTGGTTGAGCCAAATTGTTGGGAATGCGTCTTGTGTGGCGTTGCGCACAGAGAGTGCAGCAGGAGCCCTCCCGGGTCTTGAGGTGCTTCATCACGGCTCACAGACGACCAGACCTGCACAGTGTGCACATCAAAACGCTCCACGCGACACCACTTGGGCATCAGCACATTCATATTGCATGCTTGTGTATTCACCCACCCCACCCC